CTCCTATCCCCTTCGCTCACCTCACTCTCCAGGGCGAGGCCCCCCAAGCCCCCTCACCGTCCCGCACATGCGCACAAAGCTCACCAGGACTCCATGCCCCGGCGGGCTTTGCGCCAAACACACCCTTCCTTCCCCCGCCCCCACCTTCCCCCTCCTCCACACTCTAAGTCGCCGATTCTGCCCAACAACGCGCCTGCTTGGCCCCGACGGGACTACATTTCCCGAGATGCATTGCGGCAAAGAGGCTTCCCATTGGTCCTCGCGGTAAGGACTCGCGCACGTTCGTGCGTCCGCCCTTTCCTTCCGGGCATCTCCGCCAGCGGGAAAACTCTATTTCCCAAGATGCACAGAAACAGGGCCTGGTCCCTATTGGCTCGCGCCGGCGCAAACTGCGCGCTTCAGATTTTGAACTACATTTCCCAGAATCTCCATGGCAGTTTCCTCAATGGCCAAGCTTGCGCAGAGGAGTCCGGGAGAGAAAAGGCGGAGCCATGGTGTCGTTGTCATGGAAACCTAGGGAGGCAAGGCACATGGAAGACCCGCCTCCAGGGCTTAAGCGCTTCAGGAGAGGTCGACACCGAGGAGGCCTGGCCAGGGCTCTCCTCCAATCAGTAGTGCGGAATCCGTCTCCATGACAACCGGTCACATGTTCACCCTCCCTTTTGGGTGAGGGATTAAAGAAAGCCTGAAGCTGGTGAAAGAAAAGCCTGAAGGTTGAGCCCTGCCTGGGTGAGCCTGGGTCGGTGCCGCCCACTCTCTGCCTCAGTTTCCCCTCTTGTGACCAGAGGGAGAATACTAGATGCCACATAGCCTCTCTGTATCGCCATGGACCGACTACAGCCTGGTCCCCGGCCTCCGTTTTCCTAAGAAAGGAAAGGTTTTCAGAGGTCGCTTCCAGGTGTCATGACGGATGGCTTTTTTGTTGTTTTGTTTTTTGTTTGTTGAGACATGGTGTGTCTCTGTCCTGGAACTTTCTATGTAGACCAGGCTGGCCTCGAACTCAGAGATCCATCATGCTGGCATTAAAGGCGTGTGCCACCAAGATCGGTAGTTTTATTTTTCTATATAGATTTTTACTATATTTACTTAGCGCGCGCGCGCGCGTGTGTGTGTGTGTGTGTGTATACCACAGTGCGGGAGTAACTGGACAACTTATAGAAGTTGGTTCTCTCCTTTGTTGGTAGATCAAATTCAGATCCTCAGGCTTTACGGCAAGCGCCTTTACCCACTAAGCATCTCTCTGGTTCAATTTTTCCAAGACGAAATGGTTCTCAGCTCTTGGGATGGAGACAGGAAGATTAGGAGGTCGACGTTATTGTCATCTTCTGCTGCACAAGGAGTTCCAGACCAGCTTTGGCTACTTAAAACCTTGTCTCAAACAAATCAGGGGGACCATCCGCATGGCTCTGTGGGGAAAGGCTCTAACGATCTGAATTTGATCATGGGATCCCACACGGTGGAAGAAGAGAACCAGCTTCCACGAGTTGTCCTCTGACATCCAAGCACACTGCCCCCCAAATAAATGAATTTTTTTTAATTAAAGCCAATAAACGGGCTGGGGATTTGACTTGGTGCTTAGAGTGATTGCCTAGCATGCTTAGCGCCCTGAGTTCAATTCCCAGCACCACAAATACAAAAGGCTAAATAACATACCATTGTATGAATACGCGTTTTACTTATCCAGTCATGAGAGGCATCTTTTTAGACATAAATAGGGTTATATCTCTTTTGCTCAAAACCTTCCAGAGTACTTTTTTTTTTAACCTTCTTGTAGAATCCCCCACACAGTGTGACTCTCTCCACCCAAGTTCTTTTGGCAAATACAGGGCTTTCGCTCATAAGAAATAGGCAGTTCTCAGCAGCAGCAGGAGGCACCTGGCTGACCAGATAGGGTCAGAGGAACATCTCAGCCTTCACCACCAGCTTGGCAGGAGTCAGCAGGCTGGGTTACAGGATTCACACAGGTCCTCAGCCTATTTCCCACTCCCTCACTGCTTCAATTCTCTGGCATTGACACCTTCTTCTGGCCTCTGCCGGTATTGCACACATGGTACATTTACATACATGTGAGCTAACACTCATAAAAATAATAAAATTTTTTAAAAACCTGGCATGGAGGTCAGACACATGGTGCACTAGCAGACACATGGTGGAGAGGGGGAGCATTAGAAAAAAAGTAAAGAACGAGCTAGAGAGATGCTCAGCAGTTAAGAGCACTGGCTGCTTGTGTAAAGGGTCCAAGTCCAGTTCCCAGCACCCACATGGCAGCTAACAATCATCCTTAACTTCAGTCCAGTTCTAGGGGATCTGATGCCCTCTTCTGACCTCCTCTGACATGGTACACACATGGTGCACTTACATACATGTAGGCAAAACACTCATGCACATAAGATAAAATAAATAAAATATTTTAAATCACATTAACAACATTCCCATTAGTGGCATTCAAGTATCTACTGTATTCTATTCTTACCAACAATACTGTATCTAAAATCTTCATACATTTGATAGGGAGAAATAGTG